TGCCTATCAGTGATGTATCCACCCTGGCTTTGGGGTGCCTCTTTGTCTCTCTCTTTGTCTCCTGTGTCTCCTTTTGTGTATTCTTGATATATATGAATCGCCGTCAGGTATCCTCTCCTCATGAACTGAACCCCAATGTCGAGGCGGGTCCCCGACAATTCCCTATTGATGTACTGTTGCAGTCAATTTTGAATTATCTTTAATAACTAACAACTCCTTCTTAGTCTTTGTATAGGTTTCTCATTAGTACTGAACTGCTAATTACAAGGCTGGTGGTTGAAACCCACCAGCCACTCCTTGGAAACCCTATACAGGATCGCTATGAGTCAGAACTGACATTACAACAACAATTCAGTCTGTCTGCTGAGCAAATAATCCAAGAAGCTGTATTATTTGAAATAAAACGTGGCACCAGGATTGGAAGAAGACTCAGTAACAATCTGCAAATTAAACACTTATCAAATATATGATTTCCAAATAGAGTCTCCCATTTTTTAGGTTATCTCTTTGCTTTGTTTATAGTCTTTTTATAAAAAATTTTTGCTTGTAAAGTCACTCATAGTTTTGGCTTTGTTACTCATGGTTTTGATGTCATATCTTAATTCATTGTCCAGAATAAGGTCCTGAAGTTCTTCTTTTGTGGTTTCATCTAAGAATTTTATGGTTTTAGCTTTTAAGTCATGAATCCACTTTAAGCTAATTTTTATAGATGGTGTTAGATATACATCTTCATTCTTTTACATGTAAAGACCCAAGTGTCTCAAAAACACTTGTTGAAGAGAGTATTCTTCCCTAATTGAATGAACTTGGCATCCTTGTTGAAAATTAATTGGTCATTAGTCTATACACGTTTACCCTATCTGAAAGGAAAGCATTCCTTTGAAATCTTTCATAGGTGGAAATGTTGGAAAGGGAAGAAGCAGTTACCATTAATTTATCTGAAAATTATGAGTTATCCCAAAAATAACCAACCAAATAACACTAACATAGTTTTAAAATAAAAAGACTATGTTCACCTGTTCCATTAGCCCATTGGCCTAATTGATTACAAGTGTTTTCAATTTTCATTATTTTTTTACCACCTTGATCCCACCCCCGGCACAGGGAGAGACCAATAGTTGCACCTTAGATGGATGCTCACAAGCTCGTGAATCACTGATATCTTAACACTGAGTCTTAATTTTTTTGTGTAGATCTTGTACATCTTTTGTCATATTTATTCCTAAATATGCTATATATTTGGAAGCTCTGTAAATTTTTTGAATATATATATAAATGTATATATACATACATTGTGTTGTATATATACATTTATATATAACTAACTCCTCAGGAGAAAGATGAGATTATCTGTTCCCATAAAGATGTACGGTTTTGGAAACCCTACATAGGGTCACTATAAATTGGGGTTAACTAGATGGCAGTGGAATTAGTTGTGGCGC